GGCACTATAGGAAACCATTCCTATTCAATGTCCATCCCCGCATTTCTATGGGATTACATCTCTGCCACAATTCTGCAAAAGTGCATTTTGCATGCGTGCGATCTTAGTTTTGTGGAGAAAATGTTTGTTTTGCATAGAAGAGCACAGTAAAATCAATTTTGCATTTAAAATAAGTTTTTGGATTTGTGCAGACCTTCTCTTTTGCGCTTGCAACGCTTCACTAGTTTGCTCACCTGATGCCTGCCCTCAGTGCTCTCTACATGCCAACAGCTCGCTTGCTCAACACAACCCAGCGTTACAATATGCCATAATTCCATCCAATCAGAGACGAGGCTGCTAAATTCTGATTGGCTGCCTTGACAACCAATCACAACATTCTTTGCATTGCTGATGACAGTGCATGCATAATTATTATGCAAGTTGATATTCTGATTATATTTTTTTCCCAAGCACATTTTAATAATTCCAAACAACATTAATCTTAATAACTACTATTAATCTTGTATTTAATCACTTATAGCCTATATATTATTGTTCATGAAGGCTGGAAGTGAAAAATGTCTTATATTCAGGTGTGCATAATTATTAAGCAGGTTATCTTCTACAGATAAAATCTCGAGATTGCCAGATTCTTACTGCCAGATTCTGGAAGATAAATTCTTCAAACAGTGGTACAAGAGGATGTGGTGCTGGTCCTTCAAGAGTCACTCTCAAATTATCTGTCTATAAAGCCTATATATATATATATATATAATCAGTCTTCAAGTATTTTACTACACTTCAGTATGTGATTTTTATTAAGTAAGGGTCATTTTTTTAGGATTCTATACTTAACCTAAGTCTCTAAGAACCTGACATACTTCTGGAGACTCCAGGTAGATTGCAGTTCTGGAAAATGGTGGTGCTGGAGACTAAATGGTTCCTGGTGATTTCACACCTAATTCTTCACCTTAATTCCTAATTCTTTTGCCGTTAACATGCATATTTTCTTCTCCACATGTTTTTGACTGACCCCGCTGCAGCATTTTGCTGTCCAATGGTTATTCATTAACTTTGCAATTTCTAGTATTGTATTAGTTTTGAATATTTCTCATGGGCATTTAATCATTTTTACTTTCAGTCTGAGTTAAATCTCTTTTTTGGTTCATTTTATCTGTAAAAGAAAATCTGCTTAATAATTATGCACACCTGAATATAAGACCTTTTTCACTTCCAGCCTTCATGAATAATTATATATCAATTATAAATTATTAAATACACGATTAATAGTAGTTATTAAGATTGATGTCATTTGGAATTGGTCAAATGTGCTTGGAAAAAATATGATCAGAATATCAACTTGCATAACAATTATGCATGCACTGTATTTTCCCTCTTGCTCTGTCATCAGCAATGCAAGGAATGTTGTGATTGGTTGTCAAGGCAGCCAATCAGAATTTAGCAGCCTTGTCTCTGATTGGCTGGAATTATGGCATATTGTCACGCTGAGCTGTGTTGAGCAAGCGAGCCATTGGCATTTAGAGAGCACTGAGGGCGGGCATCAGGTGAGCAAGCAAGTGAAACGTTGCACACGCAAAAGAGAAGGTCTGCACAAATCCAAAAATGTATTTTAAATGCAAAATTGATTTTCGTGCGCTCTAAATACTTTCTTCTTTGCCAGTCAAACATTTTCTCCACAAAACTCAGTTCACGCGCGTGCAAAAAAGCACTTGCGCTCTCAAAATATGATCTTTCCCTTGCAGAATTGTGGCAGAGATCCAACTCTATACATTTCAAACACTGCATTACTCCATGTGTTGAGCTGCGTCATTTTGTGTGTTCAGTTACATTACTCTCTGTTCAGTGCTTCATGTCTGATGTTGTGGCTGCATAATATCAGTTTGATCTGGGACAGCAGCAGCATCACGGCAGACCCAAATACGGCTTCCCCCTTTTAGCACCTGGGACACACACACACACACACACACAGAGATCAGATTTTGGATCAGTGTCCTCTACTGTGGTCCCATATGTAGCTGTTTCACTGAACACTGGTGAGCTGGCCTCATATCAGAGGAAAATGGCCTCTTTCCGCACTGCAGTCACTTGCTGGTCATTCACTAAACAGATTGTAGTTTTGCTGTAGCCTCAGAGCACCATATGCTTCTCTTTTTCTCCATTTCTCCATCTATCTTTCCGTGCTACATACACAGACACTTACACAGCAAGCAGGAAATGGGGCCTGTAATGTATTGATGCTTTGAAAGTCTTTTTACTTGAAGGGAGTATGTTACCGCTTTTTGCATCAGTGCCAAATATTACAATTTTAATATTTTTATTGGTAAAATAGTAGTCCACAGATATGGCCAATGCAGTATCTAGAGTCCTGGATGTCAGATATAACGTTGCCATATATAGAATATTTTGTATTTTTTAAACATTTTGCTTATTTTGCATGATTATCTTAAATACTTTACAGATTTTACTAACAGTTCACTAAATTATAAACAGAAATTGTTTGTTTTCCAGTGAAAAGGCTGTCGTTTGATTTTGGAACTGGTTTATACATTGCTAAAGTATATAGTAAAGTTCAAATTTGTTTTCTAAATATTTGTGTTGCCCCTGTCGCTGACCACGTCTTTCATTGCATGAGCAAACTAGTAGTGCGTAGTAGTGTGTAATGCAGTGATATGCTGGGCCCTAATATGTGGTATTCTAGTGTGTAACACTGTGATATGAGACTAACTCTTTAAAGGTAAGAAAACTCTCGTGATAAAGCTTTACAATTATTGGCAAGTCGCAAGACACCACAGGTGAATGCGGTAAATATCAAATAGATCACCATACTTGATTAATCACAGTACAATAACACAATTATTTTGCATGTTTTATGAAATGTTATGTTTAAATATACAAATGAGGCATTATCTAGATAAACATGCACTTACTTACATACATTTTTCAGAACAGAAATCTGAACATTGGATAATTTATTTCATTTTGTTGACATATTATGCTAAAGGTTTTTCATTTTTAACATGTTTTTTAGACATAAAATGTTGTATTAATTAGATGAATGATATATGAACAACCCCTCTGTAAAGACCTTCAAAATATTGAATTAGAATTTGGTGTATGTAAGTGTTACTGAAGTTGAGATTTCTGGCTCAGTGCAGAACGAAAAACTCATTTTGAGAAAATGGCCTTTTAAAGATATGCATTTTAATTAAAATCTACACATGAAAATGCAAAAAGTATAATAAAATGTACTCTTAAATGTGTGTTTTGGATGTTTTCTTTCCACCAGTCTGAAATAAGACATATGGAAGCACAATAGCCCAAAATCTCAAAATTGACCAGTGCAAGAAAAAACAAAGGTTTTGCCTGTGGTGTCTTTCCTTAATTATTTAACTAATGGGTTTGTAGCACTTGAGCCCTTATTACAGAACCATCTGAACTCCAGAATCCCGTCTTATCTGTTTACTAACAATGGTGATTTCAGCTCCCAATTAGGACAAATGCTTAAGATAGGATGTTTCTGTAACACTGCACTTGCTGGGTTCTCATCGTAGGACTTTAGTAGGTCTAGCATGTTAGTATGTATTGTTTTAGTGTGCAGTGCTGTAATGTGCTGGCCTTTAGTGTGTGAGGCTGTCAAATGGCTATAGTATGTAACGTTAACTTCTAGAGCGTAATGCTGTAGTGTATAAGGCTGTGACGTAGTATGTAGGCCATAGAATAAAATTTGGAGCACTGTTTCATTCCTTGTTCTCTCATTTTTGTTCCTCGTTTGAGAACAGACCACAAATGAAAGTGGAGGTCTCTTGGCGGATGCTTGTCATAGCAATGTGAGAACATTTATATTGGGATATTTTCCCCCCTCTAAAGCAACATCCTTCCACTGTGCCTGACGCACACACATACGCACGTTCACTCCTCTTCCTATTCTCTCACCCACTCTTTAAATGACAGTTTTAATGACTAACCTCTCACAAATTGTCACTTCCTCACTCAACTCAACTTTCTAGCATAAACACATTTCATGTACATCACTGATTCCCTGTAGTAGCAGATTCAACAGAATGGCAAGCTGTGTTAAACAAAGTGTTAAGAGTACAGAAAAAAAATTATTATAGTAAAGATAAAAAATTATTAAATGTAATTTTAATAAAATATTGGATCTCTTTATGGTCTTAAATCTAATAAAGCGCCATTTATAAATAAAATGCTGAAAAAATGTCAAGATTTACATAGTATATAGTACTGTTCAAAAGTTTGGGGACAGTAAAATGATATAAGAATTTTTAAGAATTACTTATTTTATTCAGCTAAAATGCATTCAGTTGATCAAAAGTAGCAGTAAAGACTCTTGCATTGTTACAAAAAGTCAAATAAATGTCAATAGATAAAAAATGCTATTCTTTTAAACTTTATATTCATCAATAAAATACTGAAAAAAGTATCAAGGTTTCCACAAAAATATTAAGTGGAACTACTGTTTTTAACATTGAAAATAATAAGAAATGTTTTTTGAGCACCTAATCGGCATATCAAAATTATTTCTGAAGAATCATGTGATTCTTGAACACTGAATACTGGAGTAATGGCTGCTGGAAATTCAGATTTGTCATCACAGGAATAAATTACACTTTAAGTTATTTTAAATAACCTCGCACTTCTGAATAGTAGTGTATTGTACTAAAACAATAAAAGCATAAAATTGAACTTTTTATTATTATTAATATATATATATATATTTTTTTTTACAGAAAGTTTAATCACAAAATGAATTTGAAAATATTTCAGACAGAAACAGAAATGGTTTATTTTCCAAATGTCAAGGCTGTTGTTAGAATTTTGGAACTGGTTTATCCAAAAAGCTTTAGAAAGGTCCACACATAACCTAAATCCATGCATTACTAAAGCTTTAGTAAAATTAGGTTAGTGAAGTTCAATTGCTCTTTATATATAGTTCCTATGTCTTCTCACATCTCTCTCTCCTTCTGTCTTTATGTTTCCAGGGACAGCTCTCTCAAGTACTGAATGTTCTGTCTGATCGGGCCACAGAGGCCAAAGAGTTCCTGGTACAGCTCAGAAATATGGTACAACACATACAGGTACAACAATGACATACAGTACACTAACACTACTGCACTTATACACACACCTGTGCGGTGCTGTATCAACTTTAATGATCTGATTCTTTCCTCACCTTGTGTTTCAGGAGAATGGAGTTGAATTCGAGGCATGTTTGGTCGCCCAGTGTGATGCTCTGATTGAAGCTCTCAACCGCAGGAAAGCTCAGCTTCTCAGCAGAGTAACCAAAGAACATGAACACAAACTCTCAGTAAGCACAGCAACACAAAACATCCCCAACCCAGTGGAAGTTTGTCTCTTAGATAAATACAGTATGCCATTTGTTTCATATAAATGTGACAAGAATTGTACACTGTAAGAAAAATCTGTGGAAAAATGGAAAAGAAAGTAGTCATATTCTCCCAGGATAGTTTCTGTTAAAGTTTATGGAGTGAAGTTGGGCAGCAGGGATACATATGCATTATCATTAGGCCTATAACACAGCAAGATGGTTAAAAGCACAAACCAGTTATCCAGCCTGCTGTTTCTAGATGCATGTGAGTCATTGAAGAGATTAAATTTTCCTCAACATGCATGTCTAACATTCATTTCTCAGTTATTGGGTCTCATTCCTTATTTTTAGGAGCTCATTATTTAAAAAAAAAACTAAAGCAGAATGACAGCTCTCTGTACTCTTTTGGAGGTAAAGGAATGGTTGGAAAAAATGGATCTGGTAATAATTACCCAAATCACACAAGTTGATTTGATTTCTTAATTGGAGGTTTAGCGTCTGCCACCTTAAGGCTTTTTAGTATGTGTTAATAGAAATGATGAATGCAGTTGCATGTTTCAGTAGCTTTGTAGGAATAGAACTATAGTAAAATACATGGAAAGCACATAGAGTCCACCCAAAAATGTTTTTTCATACCTGTAAGGCTTAGTTTCTTCCGTGGAGAGCAAAAGAAGATATTTTGAATAATGTTTGTAAGTAAACAGTTTTGGTTCCCATTGGCTTCCATTGTATGGACAAAAATAAGTCAATAGGAATAAAAATTTTGTTATCAAAATTCTTCAAAATATCTTAATTTGTGTTCCACAGAAGAAACTAATTCTTAGAGGTAGGCTATGGAATAACATGAGGGTAAATGATGACAGAATTTTGTTTAGTGTTTAGTTTATTAACTAATATTCATGGAAATCTCCACACATTTCTGTATTAGGGCAACAGATGACTGGGCACTGAGGATATTTTCTATTTCCCCATTAAAAATTCATTAAATCTCTTCTCTGCCAAAGTTGGATTCAGAATAGTTTCATGCTGCAGACAGCAGGGCTAATCAGCAGTCATTGTTGGTGTGTCAAAACAGCCTGTTTCTAGCCCAAGCTTCTATGCCGTATAAAAAGGTTTTCAATCGTGGGGGGAACGCAGCTTAGTGGTTAAAAATCTGGGCCATTAACATAGAGATATTAGGTTTAACCACGAGTCATTGTGTCCTTGAATAAGACTCTGAATCCCAGGCTGCTCCAGTGAGTCCGCATCCAGTTAATGTGCTGCAATTCTCTTTAGTTGAAATGCAGCTGGGAAATGGCAAGTAACCAAATGTAAAATCAGTGTGCTTTTAAACAGTCTCAAGAAGTCTAGTCACTTATAATGCGCTAACATGACCCTGATTTTGTCTTCCAGTGGGTAGTTGTTAAACGACGTGTCCGGATTAAAATGTATGCAAATGTAAAATTTGAGTTGTATATTTGAAGTGCTTTTATTGCTTAGCATTTCTTTTACGTTTTCTATCATATTTAATCCCCCCCCCCCCCTTTTTCCAATTAAATGACAAAAGCATTTAAATAAACTCTAAATTATTTTAATCACAAACAAGCTGGAGTGATGACATTAACTTACCTCATGTGTAGTAGATTTCTCGTTCTGTCTGAAAAAAATCAAGTAAAATTGTATCATTTTGTGAAAAAGTTTAAGATAAATTAAAAAAACTAGTTCACCCAAAAATAAAAAATTGCTGAAAATGTACCCACCCTTATGCTATACAAGATATAGATGAGTTTGTTTCTTCATTGGATCAGATTTGGCTAAATTTAGCCAATCACTTGTTTACCAGTGGATCCTTTGCAGTGAATGGGTACCGTCAAAATGTACGTTAACACTGTGTGTTTGTAAGAAAGAAATCCATCTTTGAAGGTGAAATATCATGAAAATCTGACTTTTCCCATTTTTAAGTGCTATAATCAGGTCCCCGGTGCATCTACCAACCAAGGAAATGAGAAAAAGGTTAACCCAGTAACTTTGTTTTGGTAAGCCTTTTTCTGTAAGTGTCTGAAAAAACCATAGACTGTATAAAAACATGGATGTAGTGTCCGTGGCGTCACCCGTAGGTTTCTGAAGAGCGTTTTTGAAGCTCAAAGTTGGCAGAGCCGGCCGTCGCCATCTTGGCAGCGCGTCACTTCCGGATAATCGAAAATGGGCAAAGAGACGGGAGTTGGTTGCTGAAACCACGCCCACCTAGCTCGACGGTGGTGACAGCAGCGGCAATCCACCTGTCACTCAAGTGGCCAGGCCCTTAATTACGCAGAATTTTAAGGCTTAATATAATTTAAACGGATGAGTTATAAAAAAATTCACCCCCCTCACAGTTGTCATGAAGGGCAAAATTAGCTATATAGACCAAAACCACTTTTTGTACCAGGCTGTAAACATATTTTTTTCTGCTGTAAAGTTGGGCATTTTAACATGGGGAGTCTATGAGACTGACTCCCTCTTGGAGCCAGCCTCTAGCGGCCAGTCGATGAATTACAGTTTAAGTCACTTCCGTGTTGATTTCACGAGAGAGACCGGAGGGTTGCCGCTTGGAAAAAACGAGTGCGTCTGATTTCGCTCCCCTAGTGACGTTGCAAAGGGATCTCATTATAATATTACCACCCCTTAATCTGTAAACTTCCACTCATGGCGCCATCATTTAGATTTCACAAGCGACAACGGTGTACCAGTTCTAATGCCATGGCGAAAGTTTGAGCAAAACCTGCTAACTGTTCTGTCTTTGGCTGCACAGACGAGCACAGAACACTATTTAGAGTCGCAGCCTCAGAGGAGACAAGAGAGCAGTGGATTTTTTGATTTATTTACTGTATATTGCTGCTGCCACACAGATCTATAATAAACATGTGTCCGTGTGCTTCGGATGTGTGCTCTCAGAAAACATATCAGAAGTTTAAACTAATATGGTTTAAAACGCATGATTTCAGCACGATAAACATAACGATAATCAGAACCAAAACAGATATTTTTTTAGCAGGTACAAGCTGTAATGTCACAGCTCTATCCTGGAATAGAGGGCGGGGAGCAGCAGCTCATTTGCATTTAAAGAGACAGGCACGAAAAACAGCATGTTTCTGCTTCCAATCAAAATAGGCATTTTCAAAATTATCTGTGGGGTATTTTGAGCTGAAACTTTACAGACACATTCTGGGGACACCAGAGACTTGTATTACATATTGTTAAAATTGTCCTGGATTTCCCAGCTGTTTACCTTCACAGACATAACCGACTGTTTTTGTTACTCATGTGTTTTTAATGTAAACTTGTGTGTGAATAGAACTTAGTTTAGTACTCACATGCTGTGACCGCCGCTTTCTGTCCGTGTGCTTCGGATGTGTGCTCTCAGAAAACATATCAGAAGTTTAAACTAATATGGTTTAAAACGCATGATTTCAGCACGATAAACATAACGATAATCAGAACCAAAACAGATATTTTTTTAGCAGGTACAAGCTGTAATGTCACAGCTCTATCCTGGAATAGAGGGCGGGGAGCAGCAGCTCATTTGCATTTAAAGAGACAGGCACGAAAAACAGCATGTTTCTGCTTCCAATCAAAATAGGCATTTTCAAAATTATCTGTGGGGTATTTTGAGCTGAAACTTTACAGACACATTCTGGGGACACCAGAGACTTGTATTACATATTGTTAAAATTGTCCTGGTCTCCCCTGCTGTTAGTAGTATGTGAGATATCGGCCTATTCTCTTCTTGTCTCCATGGTGCCACAGGCCTGTTCCCATGGTTACAAAGATGTTGGGGTTCTAGTTTTGACCAGAGGCTCTGCAAGATGAGACTGCATTTCTTCAGTTCTGTCTGGTTCTGTCTCATACTGTTTGGATTTGAATGGCTCTCATGTGAATCATTCAGTGTGGTTATCAAAATAGGCATTTTCAAAATTATCTGTGGGGTATTTTGAGCTGAAACTTTACAGACACATTCTGGGGACACCAGAGACTTGTATTACATATTGTTAAAATTGTCCTGGTCTCCCCTGCTGTTAGTAGTATGTGAAATATCGGCCTATTCTCTTCTTGTCTCCATGGTACCACAGGCCTGTTCCCATGGTTACAAAGATGTTGGGGTTCTAGTTTGACCAGAGGCTCTGCAAGATGAGACTGCATTTCTTCAGTTCTGTCTGGTTCTGTCTCATACTGTTTGGATTTGAATGGCTCTCATGTGAATCATTCAGTGTGGTTAAATGCTCTCTGAGACCGTCTACAGCTTTGGAGGATGTGTGTATGTGTATTAGTGTGTACCTGTTGTGCGTCACGTAAAAGAGATATAGCTGTTAGGTTTAAGTAGAAGTTGGAGAGGCACACACTGACACATACATTCATCCATTAAAATATGCAGTTATGAAGTGCAAATGAATTTTAAAATGTTTTTTTTGTAAAAGGTCAGTGATGTGTTTGCTGCTCAGGGAGGATGCAGACTATTGGTCCTGCTGTTGCCTAGCAACCTAGCCACAGCACAGTTATCGTGAATTCATTCTCTTTCTCTTTCTTTCTGCCTCTTTATCTCCTTTTTGTTTCAGGTGGTTCGTGATCAGATATCCCACTGCACGGTGAAGTTGAGGCAGACCACAGGACTAATGGAATACTGTCTGGAAGTTATCAAAGAAAACGACCCCAGTGGCTTCCTGCAGGTCCTTGACCCTTTTAATATCGCACTAATGAACCTCATCTGCTGACATGGGCTGGAAAGTTAGGATGTTTATACACTAGAGAAAGACCAAACTTTTAATGGATGGGAATGCATGAGATCCATCTTAAGGGTGTACCAAGATCCAAATCAGTTTGATGTAAAGCAAATTGGATTTCCAAAGACCGGACTGCTTCTCTGAAATTCTCATCAGTCAGTGGAGTCCTTCATCACAGTGTTTTTCTCAACCTTTGCTCTGCTTTGTGCAGTTATGAAGTGCAAATGAATTTTAAAATGTTTTTTTTGTAAAAGGTCAGTGATGTGTTTGCTGCTCAGGGAGGATGCAGACTATTGGTCCTGCTGTTGCCTAGCAACCTAGCCACAGCACAGTTATCGTGAATTCATTCTCTTTCTTTCTGCCTCTTTATCTCCTTTTTGTTTCAGGTGGTTCGTGATCAGATATCCCACTGCACGGTGAAGTTGAGGCAGACCACAGGACTAATGGAATACTGTCTGGAAGTTATCAAAGAAAACGACCCCAGTGGCTTCCTGCAGGTCCTTGACCCTTTTAATATCGCACTAATGAACCTCATCTGCTGACATGGGCTGGAAAGTTAGGATGTTTATACACTAGAGAAAGACCAAACTTTTAATGGATGGGAATGCATGAGATCCATCTTAAGGGTGTACCAAGATCCAAATCAGTTTGATGTAAAGCAAATTGGATTTCCAAAGACCGGACTGCTTCTCTGAAATTCTCATCAGTCAGTGGAGTCCTTCATCACAGTGTTTTTCTCAACCTTTGCTCTGCTTTAAAATATTACATTGGTTAGGTATTAGGGGTGAAACATATGTATTGGTACCATATTTTTTTATTTTTTTATTTTTCTGTATTGGCCAGTTTGTGCATGCTCATTTCATCAGTTTTTATTTTATTTGTATTACCTTTTATTTGGATAGCACTTATTTAAGGTCATTTTTAAAAACACTTATAATTTAAAAATCTCAAACAAATTCTAATTTTGTGATGCCGAACTTAACTTGTAGCATTTTAAAAGCATTTTTTTATTTATACAAAAGTGTTTTAGTGTATTAAATAAAATAGTTTATTATTTCTATTTTATAAATGATACAATTATTATTAAAATAATAGTCATCAGCCATTATTTCATTCTCTAGTTTTAAAAATTAAATGATAAAACTATCATTAAAAGAATAGTCATCACTCATCAGCCTCTATTTTAGTTATAAAAATTTAATTTTATTATTAAAATAATAGTCATCAGCCATTATTTCATACTCTATAGTTTGGTGATGTCTACATTAACATGCATATTTTTAAAAGTATTTTGATTTGAATTTATAGTGTCTTATTTTTAATTTATTTATAAAAATAGTTGTTACATATTATAATAATACATATATATGTATATGTATTATTGTGTATATATACAGTATGTATTATTGTGTAAATATGTATATATATAAATTTAATAGCACCCTTTTTCATGTATCAACCATAACATGAAAATAATTGTCGGGGCCAGAACTATACTGTTATTATATTGCTCTTTGTGAGTGTTGTGCAAAACTGGTTGTAAGCCAATGTGACATCATTGATCTGTTGAGGACCATAGTGAAGACTTTTGTACAATTCACTCAAATTAAAAAAGACTGGTACCTGATATACAAATGTAAAACTGCCTAGAAATTACTTATAAATGAGTGGAAAGAGCATGGAAAGGTCATGAAAATGTATTCGATAAAAAGTGTGTGATCTTATAAAACTTTTCCTCAAATACAAGCACTCTTGCTTAATGACACTTTGCCTTCCAAAACTTTTCCGATCACAAAATGTTTCTTGCTCCAAGGATTCTTATTAATTTAACAGAAGGTCATACATTTACATAATGGCAACACTTCATTAATTTGACTTAATGCCGTGTAATATATTCTGAATCACAGTCTGTGTGTGTGTGTGTGTGTAGATCTCAGATGCTCTGATAAGACGGGTCCATATGACAGAGAATCAGTGGGGAAAGGGCTCTCTGACCCCTCGCATGAGCAGTGACTTTGACCTGACACTGGACAGCGGACCCCTGCTGCAGACCATACACCAGTTAGACTTCGTCCAGATGAAGGGTGAGTCTGTGTGTGTGTGATTGGATGTTTCATTTTTTGCATGGCTTTCCTTAATGACACAGTAAGACAGAACACTGGCCCCAAAATAACCCCGTCCATCTTTGTTTGTGGCTTTGTGTGTGTGTTTAGTTCCAGCTGCTCCTATTCTTCAGTTAGAGGAGTGCTGTACTCAAACCAACAGTGCGACTCTGTCATGGAAACAGCCACCTCTCTCCACCATTGCTGTGGATGGCTACATTTTAGAACTGGATGATGGGAATGGAGGCCAGTTCAGAGTGAGTGTCACGTACAGTACACAAAGTGAACCCTTTTGTGCTATTGCATTCTCAAGATTATATATGCATTACTGATTCTTTTTTTTTTTAAGTTTGAAAAGCATGAAAAGTCTCATATGCTCACCAAGACTGCATTTCTTTAATCAGAAATACAGTAAAAATGTGAACTTTATCTTTTTAGATTTTATACATATCATTTTTTTTCAGATTGTATAGATGTTGTATATTTATCAAAAAGTATCAACAATTATACATCAGGCTTCTGAGGAACCTTTTTTAGTATAACTTTCAATCATTATTGTATTGCAAATTATCAGAATTTAATCTTAACGTTTTCCATATAAATATCAGCAACTGCACATAATTTCTAAATGCTCAGTTTAAAATTGAATAAAATAAAATTGCTTATTAAAATTTGTGGGGGTTTTCCCTCCTTGAATTTAAGCTCCATATTCTCCTGTATCATACTATATGAGCCACGAAAGCCTGATGTATCAAGTATGATACTTAACAAAAACTTTTTTAACATTTACATCATATTATAATATATTTGTATTATATTCTTACATTTCAAAAGTTAGATTTTTCTGGCTATTTTATCATATGTTAGACTTTACAGCTTAATGTAAATTATACACATTGTTGCATTGTTGCAAAATCATCATTAAAAATAAATAGAAAATCAATCAGGTCTTATAATATTTAGTTTGAACTCCTCAAATTTGAGCATTTACCATTGATCATTTAATGTAAAAAAAAAAGGGCTCTTTTTTGTGCCCTATTCATGGAAAGTGCCAGTGACGTCACACTGAAAGTCTGCTGTGTAGAGCTCTTTATGAACACCGTTGTATGTCTAATTGTATGTTACTAATATAAATTAATATCATTGTGCTGTTAACTGTAATAACGCTCTAGTAGTTTATCACTTGTAAGCGCTGAACAAGTCCAGCTTCCCTGATCTGCTGCTTTCCTTCCTCTCTTTCAGTACCCAATTCTGTTACTTTCTTTTTTTTTTCTCCTTCCACCCCTCTACATTTTCTGTCCTCTGCATTTCTCTGCCTTTTCCATGTTTCTTTATCTCTCCAAACTTCTCTCGCTCTTTTCCCCTCTTTCTCTTGATTTCAGTGAGTCTGCTTTCATATGGTAGTAAAACTCTGGCAGCAGGTATGAATGCCTGAACCTCATCATTATGTTAACCTCATATACCCTTTCTTGTCTGCTTGAATATGTGTGTGTGTGTGTGAGTGAGAGATTGAGTGTGTGTTTGCAAGTTTGATTTGCAGTGTCTCTGTGTTCTTAAACTCATCTGGACTTTTATTCTTACTGTAAATCAAAGCTCAACCAGCCTTCATGACCGTATGTGTGTATGTGTGTGTTGTTTCTGCAGTTGCCTGGTTCACCTTTGACCCTGCGTCAGCCCACCCCGACATCATCTTGTCCAACGACAACCTCACGGTGACGTGTAACAGTTACGACGATCGTGTCGTAATGGGCAACACAGGGTTCTCTCGTGGCGTGCACTACTGGGAGATGACCATCGATCGCTATGACAACCACCCTGACCCTGCGTTTGGAATCGCCCGGGCTGATGTCATAAAGGACGTGATGCTGGGGAAGGATGATAAAGCCTGGGCCATGTATGTGGATAACAACCGCTCCTGGTTCATGCATAACAACTCACACACCAACCGGTATGAATACATTTGTCTATGTGTGCATGTGTGTTTTGCAACTTCTCGATTAAATGATTATCATGAGAATCTTAAACAATTAAATTTCTATACATCATGTTATTACTTTTTCAAAAGCACTACCAATTAAAGACCATGTTGCTCACGGTTTTTAGCAAGATCTACCAGCTCATGCACTGAAAAACAATTTTCACTCTGAAATTGCTAATAAATTTCACAGTTACAAAGAAACAGCAAGTAACACACTGAATTAAATGTGAAATTTTGAAGTAGAAAAACCATAGTAGTATTTTATAATAAATCATACTCCAATAATCTTTTGTTTTATTTACAACTTCAAAAAAAAATTACAGTGTAGATATCAATAACTAAAAGAAATGCTTCATTATATATTATATTATATTATATTATTATATTATATTATATTATATTATATTCAAGTATTTTCTAGAAATTTTTAGAAGTTCTTGGAAAAAAAGCCTGATAAAGCACCTTATCACAGATGTTCACTATTGCTCTTGGTTACAAAGTGGATGCTATACATATCTTAGGTGAAGCAATGAATGAAGCTAATTTTCATAATTAAATGTATATCCTCTATATGTCATTGTAATAGTCCTTAGTCACATAATGACTCATAAACTACATGTTTAAAATATATATTTGTGAAATTTCAACAAAATGTATTGCCAATGTTGTGACAAGATGCCAACATAGAAGAATCCAGCAAAACAGAACAGAAAATACACCCACTGACATTTCAAAAGTAAAGCATTTCTCTGGAGATTGCAAATACAATCCTATTGTTACAGTTTCATAAATCACACCATCAGCTGGCAATATAGAAATAACACATTCACCCACAGTCACCGTGAACAATATGCTTTATTGTTTTCATTCTTTTTGTCTTTCATACTCTCCCACCTTCAGTGTCTTCTTTACCTGTGCATTGATGGTGTGGTAGAATCTGCTATTGGATCTGAACGTTATGTCTAAGGCACCATAGGTGTGAATTAACATGCTTAAAATGTCCCTACTATCTGAGGGATATCACTGAAATAGGAGTCCTGAGAAATCACACCTGTCTGAGTGACAGCCCTTATGCTCTGTGAACAGCAAAAATATCTGAAACTCTCTCTGCCTGCTAATTAATGTGCATGTTCACGTTTGCTGATATATGGTTGGCTATAATTTTTTTTTGGGGGGGGGGGTGTTGTAGACAGAATACATATGATGGAATTATGAAACTGGTAGTTAATTTGTGGCGGAAATTAGCAAAACTACAAGTAGATTAAAAATGTGATGCATTACTGCCACCTGCTGCTGGTTTATATTATTCACATGCAGAGAAAAGGAAATGCTCACACAGCATGCAAATGTTAAAAGGGTCATATGATGTTGCTAAAAAATGACATTATTTTGTATATTTGGTGTAATGAAATGTGTTTATGCAGTTTAAGGTAAAAAAACACATTATTTTCCACATACTGTACATTATTGTTTCTCCTCTATGCCCCGTCTTTCTGAATCGCGTCTAGTTTTACAAAGCTCATCGGTCTGAAAAGCGAGGTGTGCTCTGATTGGCCAGCTATCCAGTGCATTGTGATTGGCCGAATACCTCAAGCGTGTGACGGAAATGTTACGCCCCTACCATATTGTGATGCCCTGTCAGGCTGGAGTGACAAGACAAAAACATTAAAACCCATTATAAACGAGGCATTTGTTCCATCCAGTGGGGACATAATTACGGATTATAATGATTTATACTGTCTTTTTACCCGTTGCGTACGCATAACCATAAAACCATGTCTGCATTTGTGATCGAAGAAATGACAAACAACAAGCGCTACTCTACACTGCTCAAAACTCACGTTTGAATCATCAGTGGCAAATTCTTTAAATATAAAAAACTTACTTACAGTCTGTGAGTCAGAACAGCCGGTATTGTAGTCTACTCTACCAGGATCAGGAAACAGTCCTCCATAAAATGTGCTGCACACATCTGAATATTTGGGTTGAACTGTTCTGGAACAGTGTTGTAAATACAACTTAACCACTGATTTCTAGTCGTGTCCTCTTTTGGAAGACCAAACAAAGTAGTTTCACTTTCACAATGAAACACAGCGTCACACACAGCGGCCTAGAGTGAGTAGCGGTGGCGGTGGCCTAGAGTGAGCAGAGGCCAGAGGGCTAGAGTGAGCAGAGGCCGGTGGGCTTGAGAACGGCGCGGCCGGCGAATTCGACGAAGGAGCGTCCGGCGGGCTTGCGGCAACCACATATGACGACCCCGGGCTGGACTCCGCTTCGTCCACGGTGAAAGCCGATCCTGCGATCCACAGTGCGAAGTTGATGTATTTCTTCAGCGACCAGCACAGATCAGCTCTAGGCATGACGAAGCGGATATCGTCCTCTTTTGGAAGACCAAATAAAGTAGTTTCGCTTTCACAACGAAACACAGCGTCTCCACGACATGGCGGCGGCAGCAACAATACTACAGTTAGAATAAAAGTTACGCCTTCTTTCTTTGTGTGAACATTTGGGCAGCGTTATGCAAATCTTCCCACATCGTGACGTAGACATGTGGGGGCGTGTTAGAACGAGCTGTTTTAGGTAGGCGTGGCTGACTCTTAACTTTTATAAAAAATATCTCTTTGGATTTGAGACTTTAGTCTTTGCAACTTTACAGATCTTCTTTATGCACCAAGAGCTTGTAACTCTTCAAAGATAAAGGAAAAATTTTAATCGCATCATATGACCCCTTTAAATAAAAAATTATAGTTTTGTATTTTATATGTGTTTATTGAGTCAAACATGAGCGTCTATTATAGGTCTTGCACTCTATTTGGTCAGTGCATCATCTTTCATTTATTCTCTCTTTCTTTTCTCCTTCTCTCAGTACGGATGGAGGAATACGTAAAGGAGCGACTGTGGGTGTGCTGCTGGATTTCTCTCGTGGGATTCTGTTATTTTTGATAAATGATGAGCAACAGGGACCCGTTGCCTTCAACACACTGGAGGGCATGTACTACCCGGCCATCAGCCTCAACCGCAACGTTCAGGTAACATTCATTTAATTAATTCACTGCAAGCATTTTAGTACACTTAAAAAAAACTTTAAAGAGAGTAACGGGAAAAAAAATACACTTAAACGAATACACTTTAGTGAAAACTAATGTAATGAGATCTGTGTGGACTGTGTGATGATGCAACACACTTCCTTCTTTCTGTTTTCAAAAAGTTATATATAAAGTATACAGGTGCATCTCAATAAATTAGAATGTCGGATGTGTATTCAAGTGACTGTGTTAGCTGCAATATTATGTATTTTTAATGTCAAGTCATTGATTCATATACTGTATGTTTACCATGGTTAAAAAAGTTCAATAAGTCCAATGAGAGAGAGAGAGAGAGAGAGAGAGAGAGAGAGAGAGAGTTTCTGCTCCTCCCTCGGTGCCTCCTATAAAAATATGTGGCTCGTGACCCCCGGTGCTCTGTGTAGCCGGTGATCTTCAGGATGGCGACTCCTCTAACGGACCAGGAGAAGCGCAAGCAGATCAGCATCAGAGGGATCGTCGGTGTGGAGAATGTGGCAGAGCTGAAGAAGGGCTTTAACCGGCACCTGCACTTCACGCTGGTCAAAGACAGGAACGTCGCGACGCCGCGCGATTATTATTTCGCGCTCGCGCACACGGTGCGTGATCACCTGGTGGGCCGCTGGATCCGAACACAGCAGTTCTACTACGAGGCCGACCCCAAGGTGAGTCCGGTTTACTTGACGTGGTAAATTTGTTTGAAACTTTTTGCCACAGCAAAAATTAATTATCGAAATGAAATGTAATTTGGAAAAATTTGATTTGTATTACGTTAACAGAGTACCCTTTTATTGGAATATAAGATATATTTTCACGTTGACATATTGGTAATGGTTTTACCAATACGGGAAAAAAAGTGGGTTTTTTTTCACTTTTAATTATTATGAGATTAACAGGTTGTAGTGAAGCTGTCGGTTAGGTTAATTAAGTCAGGTGCTTAACACCCTCATCCGTCCCTCGGGTCATTTTGCCCCAAAAGGTTTTTTCAAAGCAATTCTAAAAATCGTGTGTTTATCGTACCGGTCCAAGATTTCTTTACTTCTGTCACACCTGCACCGGGAATACACAAACATTTTTGAGTGGATTCGAGGAGTTTAAATGGGTGCAGTAAAAAAAGTAAGTCATTTTGACCCGCATAGGAATTAATGGAATTTAAGAGAAAACTGCATTTTTCATTACATTTGATTTTTTTTGATAGGCTTATACAAAATCTGAGACAATCCAGTAAAGATTTATACCCAAAGGAAGGGCTGAGACTACAGAATATCCCCAATGCAGAAAAACTCACATACACACACACACACATGCACAAACACACACATGGTACACACACTCTCATAGAACACTTTGTAATATTTTTCATGTTTCTGCTGGGATATGACCGTCATTTTTCCTTTTTCTTTTTTACTTAACACAGTTAGATTTGAGTGATGTGGTGGAGTGATGAGTGATGAGATTTGAGTGATGAGTTTGTATAATATTTATATATTTTAAAATATATTATATATTTATTTAATATTCATGAAATTGTATGAATATACATATGTTTGGGTTATAATTCAGTTAGAATTTTTTTTTTTAAAAAGGTTTTTTTTTTTAAATATGGATTTTGTAATGTTCCAATATATATTTTAATCCATAAACAACCAAATTGAAGCCTTAAGATTATCTAATTTCTCATGTTTCACTTGTTTTGCTCATTTAAAAATCTCCATTGGGTTCTATAGTCCACTCTAGTGGCTGTAACCATAAAATGCGATTTTATGTAATTTTCCCCCACCAGATGGCATCAGAGACACTCAGTGACTCAATTCCAAGGCCATCTGTTGGTTTTTGATGAAACAGGGCTGAAATTGTCTTTCTTTGTTTGATTTTTTGGTGAAATAATGTACAAAAACTGCTTATTTGCTTATGTTTTCTTAAAAATATCCAGAATAAAAGGTAAATATGATAAAAATCACCAAAAAATAATAGAAAAACCTACATAAAAAAATTGATTATTACCAGGGTTCAGACTGTCATGACAAACCTGGATATATAAGATAATTTTTTATTTATTAAATAAACAATAATAATAATAATATTTTAGGGTAGGCAACTTATTGTGATTTCCAGTCCTGGAAAAGTTATGAAAATTCATAGATTTTTTTTTCTAGTTATGCACGGCTTCAGTAAAATCACTATATATATTTTTTTGTGATGGAAAATAATTTGGCATAATTTGCACCCAATGTACACTCCAAGAATGCTCTGTTTGATTTTTTAATTGTTTATATTTCTGTGTGCTTCAGCGTGTATATTACCTGTCACTGGAGTTCTACATGGGTAGGGCGCTCCAGAACACCATGATTAATCTGGGTCTGCAGAATGCCTGTGATGAGGCTATCTACCAGGTGAGAGAGGACTAAACACTTGTCTATCCATCTGTGCATCTGGCTTTCTTTGAATCTCTCTTTTTCCTTTTAGCTGGGTTTGGATATGGAGGATCTGGAAGAGATGGAAGAAGATGCCGGATTAGGGAACGGAGGGCTGGGAAGATTAGCAGGTCTCTCTCTTTCTCTCTTGCGCTCTCTCACACATACACTATACTGTACAAATAATTTACCGCATTAATATAAATTAGCAATATTTACTGTGTGTATGCGATCCACAGCTTGTTTTCTCGACTCCATGGCGACTCTGGGTCTGGCTGCTTATGGATATGGAATTCGATATGAATATGGAATCTTCAACCAGAAAATCAGAGATGGCTGGCAGGTGAATTCACCCAGATTCCCTTAATTTATTAATAAAAAAAACTTTCTCATATGCAAGCTTCTGATGTCATAATACAGTTAATTATAGTAGTTCTGACCCATAAAGCAAACAATGTATTTGTGGTGTATTTTTTTATATTTTAGAATACAAAAATGCCAAAATGTATCACTAATAAAGATTTTAAAATAAATATATTTTAGATACATTTTAGTTACTTATATTTTCTCATACATTTTTTTATGTTTTCAGATATATTTTTAAATATATTTCAGAGTACAAAAAGTCAAAACATATTGCTAATATAGATTTAAAAATATATTTACATAAATATATTTTTCTGTAGGTTTTAGTTACTTATAATTAGTGCTGTCAAACAATTAATCGTGATTAATTACGTCCAAAACAAATGTTTTTGTTTACATACTATATGTATGGATACTGTGTTTATTTATTATGTATATATATATAAATACACACAGAAGAATAAAAGGTAAATATGATAAAAATCACCAACAAATTATAGAAAAACCTACATAAAAAAATTAGGGGGAAAATTTATTAAAATGTTCCAATATAAGCTTTCTGGACCAAAAATGACATTTGTGTAATTTTTGACCTTCGGGTCGTTTTGACCCGCGAGGGACACTTTTGTTATAGGTTCGGGAGGGACGGATGAGGGTTAAATCTTTGAAATATAATGCATTACAACTAAGTTTTATGGATTCAAATAATGTATTTGTTCCAGTTGTTTGTGATTATTACCAGGGTTCAGACTGTCATGACAAACCTGGATATATAAGATAATTTTTTATTTATTAAATAAACAATAATAATAATAATATTTTAGGGTAGGCAACTTATTGTGATTTCCAGTCCTGGAAAAGTTATGAAAATTCATAGATTTTTTTTTCTAGTTATGCACGGCTTCAGTAAAATCACTATATATATTTTTTTGTGATGGAAAATAATTTGGCATAATTTGCACCCAATGTACACTCCAAGAATGCTCTGTTTGATTTTTTAATTGTTTATATTTCTGTGTGCTTCAGCGTGTATATTACCTGTCACTGGAGTTCTACATGGGTAGGGCGCTCCAGAACACCATGATTAATCTGGGTCTGCAGAATGCCTGTGATGAGGCTATCTACCAGGTGAGAGAGGACTAAACACTTGTCTATCCATCTGTGCATCTGGCTTTCTTTGAATCTCTCTTTTTCCTTTTAGCTGGGTTTGGATATGGAGGATCTGGAAGAGATGGAAGAAGATGCCGGATTAGGGAACGGAGGGCTGGGAAGATTAGCAGGTCTCTCTCTTTCTCTCTTGCGCTCTCTCACACATACACTATACTGTACAAATAATTTACCGCATTAATATAAATTAGCAATATTTACTGTGTGTATGCGATCCACAGCTTGTTTTCTCGACTCCATGGCGACTCTGGGTCTGGCTGCTTATGGATATGGGATCCGATATGAGTATGGAATCTTCAACCAGAAAATCAAAGATGGCTGGCAGGTGAATTCACCCAGATTCCCTTAATTTATTAATAAAAAAAACTTTCTCATATGCAAGCTTCTGATGTCATAATACAGTTAATTATAGTAGTTCTGACCCATAAAGCAAACAATGTATTTGTGGTGTATTTTTAAATATTTTAGAATACAAAAATGCCAAAATGTATCACTAATAAAGATTTTAAAATAAATATATTTTAGATACATTTTAGTTACTTATATTTTCTCATACATTTTTTTATGTTTTCAGATATATTTTTAAATATATTTCAGAGTACAAAAAGTCAAAACATATTGCTAATATAGATTTAAAAATATATTTACATAAATATATTTTTCTGTAGGTTTTAGTTACTTATAATTAGTGCTGTCAAACAATTAATCGTGATTAATTACGTCCAAAACAAATGTTTTTGTTTACATACTATATGTATGGATACTGTGTTTATTTATTATGTATATATATATAAATACACACAGATACAGTTTATATTTTGAAAATAGTTACATGTATATACATTTATATATTTATATTATTATATTTTATATTATATATAAATATATATAATATATAAACATAGCTTATTATTCTTAAATATATCAATGCTTGTGTTTGTATTTATATATACATAATAAATATACACAGTATACACACATATTATGTAAACAAAAACTGGATGCGATTAATCGCGATTAATCATTTGACAGCAC